CATTGAGAAGTTCAACTAATGGCCTGGATAATGAGCAAAAAGGGATGACCGAAGGGACACTAGAAGAGCTGTAACTGCGGTCGCGACGGGAAAATGTAAGCATTCCACAAAAGCTGTCGCCATTAACACCCCCTTTTTTAGAGCCAAGGCGGCTTGTAATTATGACTCCTTTCGATTTAAGGGGGTGCACATCATAAAACAAAGTCATTCGTTTTCTTTTGGCAAAAATAAGGCTGTCAGTCAATAATTTTAAAGAAAATCAATTTGAATTTTAAGGATTTTTTGTTGAATAACTTCAAAAAAAATTAAGAGGAGGTACCCCCTAAATCGAAAAGGACAAAAAAATAATTTTTGAGCTGCACTTCTATAGAAAAAAATGTACCTCTGACTTGTTTTCTTAGCAGGCGTCGTAACTTAAAGCCCTTGATTGGCGGTTTTACGGTTGTTTCAGACCGGTTAACCCACCGGGTAATACTTATCCAAAAAAGAAGAGACATTGCATAGAAAGTTCTCCTTCACGCAAAATAGAATTAAAGACATTCACGTCAAAAAAGCGTAAAAATAATTGCTTCCCGCGAGGTTCATTTGAAATAAGCACTGGAATGTGTTTTGTTTAGCGCCGCTCCAATCAGGTTTTTACCATTACCGAGTTTTTACGAGTAATGAAAGATAAGGTGTGTTTCTTTTCCGCAATTTCTAGTGCGAAGTCTTCACAAGTGCCAAAACAGACACGCCCAAGAGGAAAAGAGGAAGCGTCTAAAAAACATAATATTTTGGCCAAACCCCGATGAACACAAAAATATTCAGATCGCGATTTCGACGTGTACTACAGACAGGTTTCTTCCAGTAATTGACATGAAAAATGATGCTCTTCCCGGAATTGACTTTAAATCCTAGTTAACCCACTCTCGCTTCCTCGAGACGCCAAATGCGGACAGCAAACTTAACTCGATAAGCTTTGGATCTAAATTCTAAATCGGCCTTTTTAAAAATTCATCTTGAATAAAAAAAAATTCACCTTCTTTTTTCTTCAAATTTCGGGGAAAACATTTTGCGAGGAATATCGTACATAACGTTATGGCATGCTGGAAAGTTTGAAGTGAGGTGTCTAAATTGCCCTGCGACCGCTGTATCCACGCTTCTTCAAGTAGCCAAATCATCAAATTTTACGCAATCAAGATAATCCGTTTCCGCTCAAGACAGTTTAAAGATCCAAACAATCCAAAATGAGATTTCGACTTAAGGGGCCCACCCACGAATTTCTAACTTTCAGAAGGTTTTGATGTCTTTTGAAGGATTTTGAAAGATGACCATACCCTTAAATCGAAATTTTTTTTCATCAATTTTCAACTGAAACCCTTAAGTTCCTTGCCCAAAAGTATCAATCATTCCGATCGAGCGGCGTGTTAAGGGACGGAACGTGAATATTTTTTTGCGTAGTCGGTCGAAATCAAGAGGAGAGGCGCGTCCCTAATTTGTTTGAAACTGAGCGTTTAGAACAAAATTCCGCTAGGCAAATCGGACACCTCTAATCCACTCGACGCGCCAAATTCAACCCTTTTATCATAAAGCGCTTAGAATCAAAAAATGAGCATGAATAAACCGTTCATATAAGAAAGTTCATTTTTGCTCGTTTTGATGCAATTTACGATGCATCAAATGATCCCAAATGAGTAACAGCGCGCTCAACTTACTGGAAAGATCCGTTTGGTTGTTTTCGTTGCGCTCTAGAATCTTGATAAAAGTAAGTATAAGGTTCCTGTTGAACAGGAAGTAGCGCTCCGTTGAAATTCCGCGGCAGAAACATTTCCTTTTTCTTCCACGATTCTTTTTTTTTCCCGAAATCGATCGACTCTAGTCAAAAAAGGCGACTTCTCCTGAGAGCTTTATTTTTCTTTTGACATGCACTGTTATGTCGAAAAATTTGAGATCTAATTCATTTCAAATCAATCTTGCGTTTTTGTTTATTAATTTTTGTTTAATCTGATATTTCGGGGAGGTGTCAGGAACCGACAAATATCGACAAATTTTCTGTGGAAATTTCCGACCAATCAGAAGCCGCAATTCGGCTCACCGGCCAATCAGCGGCGGATTGGCCACCCACGCAAATTTTGTCGAGATTTTTTTGTCGATTCGTGACACTTCCCCGATTTTTCCACACAAATATTTTTTACCCTTGCCTTAACCCTAACCCTAACTCTTTAATCATTCAACAGTATAAGAATTTTAGCTTGTCCATTTCCGGCCCTAAAGAGCTCAAAAAGAAAGGTTTGTCTATTTGTCTCATTGGTAATCCGCAGCCTTACATTACCCCAAACAACAAGAAAAAGAGCCCCCTGATAGAGCCCCTTTCTTGAGCGCTGTTTATTTTTTATTCAACAACGTTCCAGGGCAAATTCATTTACGGATGGTCTAACGGCTTTTGAAGATTCCAACGAGCGCGTCTTGTAACTGGCAAGGAGCGAGAATTCTTTAAATTCAAGGGTAGATACTCTCGACGCGAAAAAAGGGGTATTAGCTTCAACACAAGGAAAAGTATTCTTTCTCAGATTTAAGGGGGTAGCCCTAATTTTTCCGTTTTTCTTTGAAATTTAACGGTCTTAGATTTAGCGTCGTTTACAACCTTAATTGGGTCCATCATCATTCCTTTGGTTTTCAACCCTTCGAAAAATCCGCCAGCTTCTTACCATGTGTCTGAAGTTAAAATCGAGCTTTAGTACTTTCAATTTTGAACAATTTTGAAAGTCCGATACAAATTCAGTTTGATTCGCTTCCGCGGTCTAAGATTCCTTTTGCGCGTTCCCAAAGAGACGGATTCGAGAATCTCGAGTTACGACTCAGTGCATAATCGTGAAGGGTTTTCGTGAAAGCTGATTGAACCTTTCCCTCTTCTCTTTGATTCTGTTATGCATAAGCTTTAATTGAGAACGTGAGAATTCGAAAATTGCCGCATCTGATAGTGAGTCGTCAGGAGGAGGATATGATTTTCTACCGTTTGCAAAATAAATTTAAGGGAACGATGCTTGATTCGATTTTTATCATCCAGAGTACAGGAAGATGCTAAGTTTTCAGCGATATAAAAACAAGATTAAGATCGACCACTCGCTCTTACGGCGGAAAAACCAACTTTAGCATAAGACATGTTCCACCCTTAATTTCAGCTTTTTAAAAAGAGCTCAGGTCAGAATCAGGCGAAAAATTCATCAAAAGCAATTTTTAAAAAAGCCTGATTTTTCGCCTAATTCTGATTTGAGCTCTATTTAAAAAGCTAAAATTTAAGGGTGGAACATGTCTTATGTCCAAAGTTGGTTTAGTCGCCGTGAGAGCGTGGGGTAGATCTTAATTTTTATTAAGAATTTTTTCTGGCCTTTACATAAAAATCAACTCGAGTTTAAAAATAATCCCTTCTTCAAAAATCACATTTTTTCGATAAGAATATGGTCTTAGCTCATAATCCTTCTTTATCACTTTTTCGCAAACGTGAGTTCTCGCTCTTTATTTTCAGCCCCCTCTTTTTTACCTTCTTAGATTTCTATTTCGCGCTATTTTTTGTAATTTTAAAGAAATGCAGCGTCGAGAATGAACAATTACGCGAATTCTAACGCGAAAATTGTAAAACTCAAGAATTAAAAAATTCTAGTTTACGGGTTATTTTTTTAGAAGGATCACAAACCCAAGTGCAAGAGGAAGCGAGGGGAGGAGAAGTTTGTGATAAGAACTTCTTTTTTGTAATATTTACGCAACTTTAAGATGCAAATCTTGTTCTGCAACGAAAAAAAGATCAAAGAAAGCCAAAAATATGGATTGTCAGAAAAAAAAATTGAAAAATTATCAAAAAATCCTTCGTTTTCAAAAATAAAATAAAAACCAATTTTCGAAATGATACCCTTATTTTCAGCCGAAATTAAAAATTTTGAGATTGGAAGGATCGAAAAATAATCCGTTTTTCATCCCTTTCCTTATTTTCGATTCAGAAGTCCAAGTTTTAAGATTGATAAATCCCATCCATCAAGTCTTATCAGTTCCCTGTTCCCTTATCGCTTCGAATACAACGCGTCGCTTTCACGTTCACTCCAGGGCTTGGTCACCCGCCGAGAGACCGCACTTAGGGCAGGGGCTGGTTGATCTGATCAAAAGGCCCTGATCGCGCTTCGCGCACCTGGGCAAATCTTTCTTTCTGTACTCGACCGCAAAGAACTGATCGTAAAAACGCCTTTTCATCAAAGTCAAAAAGGGAGAAAATGACTTGTCGGTTACACGTGATATCTGTGATAACTCGAGAGCTAATGATGATTGATAAGGATTTAAAATTTCATATCGCGGAAATGGGTTTTAGAAAAATGCTCTAGAATTTCATGATTTCGGAAAAAAGGGTTTAAATAGAGAAAACTCATCCTTTTTGGACTTTTTCCTCTTTCAGAAAAAAAAAATTCTAGCGACCACGTTCAATGCCGCGGTGGTTTTTGCACAGGAAGTTCCAGCGTCTAAGCTTACAACTTGCCAACTACGTGTATTTTTGGCTAACGGACACTCGTGTTCTTTCACGTTAATTTGTATAGCCGTGTAAAACATGAGTATCAAATTGTTTTTTTCCGTGCACAGAATAGTCTGTGAACAAAATCATGTCTTTTTTATAACAGAAGCTGCTCAAGAAAAGTGACAAAAGGGCAATGTAGGCAAAGATGTAAACTTTGACACGTGACTAGAAAAATTTTGAATGGATCATCAAAAGCTCACACTTAAAGTAAGATCACGGATTGAACTTTAATTTGCGCCATAGAGAGCTATTTTACCATATCTCTGAGCAAAGTTATTCAAGAAAACCCTTCTGAACGCTGACAAGACCCTTAAGAAAATTCCAAATCTGAGCGATTTTAACCCACCCTTTGGCAGTGCTGAATCCGCAAGATTTTGATTATTATTTCCTCCAAAATAAGAATGACAATCTGGCAATTGTTTTATGTCCCAGGTGAACTCATTAATTACGCCAATTAACTTACCATTTGTTTGAGCTGCATGCTAGTTGTTGTATTTCAAAGTATCGTGGTTTTCGCTTTTCACTTTTTCTTTCTTTAGTAGACTGCAAGTTGGATTTACTAAACAAGCGAACATGAGTCGAAGGTATAATTTAACGTGTGTTGCATTTAACATTAAATTGAGCCTTGTACAAAGGGGCGCTTTCGCTCTAGCGTTTATACCATATCAAAACGCTCAGCAGAAAAATAAAGAAGAACCGGAAAGAGGGGAGGAATTTTTTGTTGACAAAAATAACAGACTTAAAAAGGCTAAAAATAAGAAAATGGGACTGGGCTCTTTGAACAACTAAGTTTGTAAATATATTAAAATAAGGGGCCCTACCCCCTTAAGTAAGGTTTAAATTAAGGTCGATCTTGAAGGATAAGACCCTTAAGTTAAGGCTTAACGAATGATTTCCTAATGAAAATCTTCTCCTAAAAATCCGGTCCAGCAGAACCACTTGAAAATGATTCGGAAGTCGGGTTTTAAAGAATAAAGAAAAGTGAGAAGCGGCTCACTTTGAGAGCAAATCCGCTTTGACAGGTAGCGGCATCGGTACTTGGACGACAAGTCGCTAATTGACAATTCACGACTTCGAAAAAGGCGTCAAGATGCCGAGAATGTTGTTCCTCGAAGTTCTTGAGACGCTTTAGAGCAAATCCGCGTGGCAACTATTTTATTTTTCTTTCGTACACATTTTTTTTTCACACACTCATTGCTGCTTTGCTGCAACAAATTCTTTTGAAACATGATGTTCCTTTCACCTTCAAAAAATTATTCAACGATTCGAACTTTTCTGGATCACATGAGAGGTCCAATGTTATCCTACAGTAGCATCTTGTTGGAACGTATTGCGATCAAGTGCTTTACTGCAGTTTTTCGCGAAAATATTATTCATTATTATTGAATTTAAATTAATATTTTTTAATCAATTTAATAAATAATTTAATGCAAAAGCTTGAAAAATTCTTGACCAATGAGATCTTCCCATTCTGGAGGCAAGCCAATCAGATTCCAGAAAAATAATTTCTCATAAAATTGAATCATTTTTGGTCGAAAATTGTCTTCTAGCGCCCCCATCCAATAATAAGATATTTTGGAAATCAAAACCCCTAAAATACCGCAAAAACCAAGAATCTTGGTCCAAGATATCAACTATTTACCCTACCCCCAAAAACTGCTTATTCAGTGAAAAATTTTCTAACACATTGGATAAGTTCCGATAGAGAAAGCCCAAATTAAAGTACACGTGGGAAGAACCGCCTGCCAACGCCTCGGTCAGATAACATTGTGTCCGGAACCTGCTGATACGACTGCCAAAAGGATTTAGAATCGCCTTAGCGAAACCTTTTTTTTGGACCTGGGAACGGAATTTCGCGGAGAATTTTTGATCCACAAAGTTAATTTGAACATTTTCGGAAGTGTAGAAAATAAAGAGATACCCTTAATTCTATATTTGCGAAAATCGTTGAGTCAGCAATTTCGCAATCGAAAAATTTACTCTTCTTCCAAACAACCAGTTGGAATCACAACTTTTTTATCTCCAAGAGTCCTCTTTAACTCGTGTTTACCCGAGTTCTTGTTCGTTGTACCGTTTATTCTTCGTCTACAAAGAACATTTAACGAACATTTTAGACGAGGAATACACGTGATTATCAATAATTAAAGCATGCCAGATGGCTTTTCTCAAATTTGCAGAAAATGCTTTTTTCGGAAAGATGATTTTTCCTTGTTCAACAAAATTCTCAAATTTCACCTTCAAAACGACCAGCTTTTTGTTCAAATAATCGCATCGTTAAAATATTTAACTACACATGCGATAGCCTTAGCCCTTCTCGGTAAAATAACGCGGTTTAGAGGCCGCTTTTTCTCTGTTGTAAATGGGCTGAAACGGTAGTTGAACATTTTTTTGAGAGGATCGAAAAGATTTAACCCGGGTTAGATCGAGGGGGATTAAAATGAGATAGAAAAAACGTGGTTCGAGTCCCTTAATTCTACTTTTTTAGACTTGAGACGAAGTTTTTACGCTAGAATTTAACCTTAGGATTCTACTGCCTCGAAAAAGATAGAAAAGTTAGATAATCTCTTTTCAGAAGAATGAAACAGAACTAGTTATTCAGGGAAGGGGTCCTTCCAGGTCACGATTTTTAAAAAATGACCGGAGCGGCTGACCCTTAGAAACGCTTTAGGAAACAAATATGCATATTCAATTCTGTCACGATAATTCTGTATACTCGTGCGATACCGGTCTTTATGAGAAACAAAGCTGGTCATTATCTAAGATAATTATATAACCATAAATTTTTGATAAAAGAAAATCTTTCTTTTCATACTGTATGAATCATACATAATTGAGAATTTCGTTCAATATGAGAATAAACGTGATAAAACCTTAACTTCTTATATTTTGTAAATTTTGTTTTCCCTATCAAATTAAGACCTTAGGAGCTAACTTCATGTTGTCATTTGAAATAAACGATCGGGATTCAAATCACCCCTTCTTTTTTTATAATCTTAGACTGCACTTAATATCAACAATTTTAATCACCCATAATTTTTGTTATTTTTCAGGGTCTAAACATCGATATTAATTTTTCATCATAGCAAAAAGTTTCGTTTTCATGAAAAATAATTGTTTCAATAAAAAATATTCCTCATGTTTATATTTATTTTTTAATAAGGACCTTGCCAACTTATAATAATATCGCGCCTATTTTTTCATTGAAAAAAGTCATTTCTCAAAAATATATTATATGTATGTTTTCTTCGGATTGCAATTGTTGGTCCCACGTGAGAAAATATTCCCAGCAGCCAAATTCATCAGTCAAGAATAACCAATTATCAAAAAGGAAGAAGAAAAAACCAGAAACAAGAAAAACAGAATGAGAAAATGAAATTTATAAATCGAATTTGCAAATTTGAAACTTACCCAAAGGGGATTGAAAGTGAAGTGTGTTCCTTCTTTTCAGTCCTCTGGTAGACGCTTGTGTTGAATTTACAGTATCTTCGTTTTCGCGCCAATCATCGCGGGAACACTCTTCATTTCATTCTCCGGCAGCCATAACTCTGGCTGACAGAAAAGAAATAAGAAAAAAATCTACCTTTTTGACTGTTTTTTTTTAATATAGAATATTTATAATTATCTTAAAATTTAAGGTCGTAAGGCTTGATTTCCTGTAGTAGCTCCAAAAGTCGCTAAATGCGTTTTTAATTTCGCGAAAATGCGCCAAAAATGGTTGAAGAAATGAGATTTAGCGGTTTTTTCCGGTAAAAGAAAACACTCACGTGATGACGATAAAAGACTTCTTGTGGTTTGAAAAAAAGCTAGAAAGTTTTGGTGAGTTGGACAGTTTTTTGGGGCGGTGGGCTTACTATACCTTTAAGAGTAAAAATCAACAGAAAAAAAAAGTTAAAAATTTTAACCCAGCGGCGTAAATTTTCCGAAAAATTGCGGCAGGAGCTTTTCGAGCAAAACACGATCAACGAGTTTTCAACTTTGACACAAATTTTGGTCAAAATCGACTGATTTCCGATTTTCTCTTTTTGATTATTTTTGGGCCAAAAACAGTTTTTCATATAAAAAAACTTTGAATTTGCTAATTTACGTCGATGGGTTAACGTGAAATTAACGGAAAAAATAATCTATCTCTTGGAAATAATTACATCCAAAACTTGGATGATCCATCTTAATTCTTTGCTTAGAAAATTCGCAAATTTTTTTCATACCAGTCTTGTGATATCAGTAGATTACATAAGGGTTTGTGTATAAAATTCGCAGCGCGATTTGCGGTCGATTTAATCTTCTATTTTTCAAATTACATAATCAAGAAAAAATTTTATTTTTTGAACTTTTTTCATTAAACAAAACCCTTTTCTTTGAGTTTCTTGGGTCAAAAATTGAGTTTCTTATTTTAAAACTAAAATATTCCAAAAAATCAAAAAAAAAAAACCATTTTTTTTAAAGTTATTGAATTTAATAGACCCTAATCTGTTAATCGTTAAGTTGACTGCTGAGAATGACTGTATAAAAGGGGACTTTATGCAAGTCGTATTATATTATTTATTATTTATAATTATAAAGAAGCCCGAGTGACCGATTCAATCTGTCTAAAATAGAACGATTGTTAGTGTTTTTTCTTCTTTTTCTGGAAACAGGAACGATAGGAAACAGTACCTAAAAATTTTGTTACAAAGAAAAGAAAATTTAGCAGGAACGTGTCAATTATTGGCTAAAACGGCTGAAAACGCCTAAATCCGGACTTCCGCTATTCACCCCGCGGTTCCAAGGCCTTTTTTAAGCCACGCCTCATCTAAAAAGCTAAAAAGGATATTTTGAATCAAGTTTGATAAACAATTTTCAGAGCTTTAAAAAATCCGTTATAAAATTGCTTTGCCGAAAATCTGTGTTCACATGAAAAAACAAGGATTTTTTTTATAAGAAAAAAGTCAATGCTTAGAAATTAAGAATGTCAGCAAAATTCTAGATCCCAGAATCGCTTAATCGAGCAAATAGCTTTCCTTCGTGGATGACATAAGAAAATCAAGTTATCGGAAATTCCCAAAAACGCCCCCTCTGTACCGAAAGTAGCGTAAAAATAACAACGAATCGGAAAACATCCGAAAGGATCCTTGAACCAAGAGCACTTCAAAAAAAATCGAGCTCGGCAAAATATCTCTATTGATTTTTTCTCATTAAAAACTTATTTTGGCGTCTTTTTCATGATTTTGAGAAAAGAATTTTTCTCGAAAAATTAGTAATTTAGTTGACATCATGTTTCTGTCAAAAAACGGCAGAAATCGTCCTCGTTTCTTTGATTTTTTCTCAATTTTTCTTTTGAATCATCAATAATTCGTCATCATTTTGTTCATCAAATTAAAAGATAAATTATGAATGTAAGAATTAATCTGATGAGGAAAGACCCTTAGTCATGTTTAGTCAAGGACACTTCCGAAAATCATGAAACATTTTTCGTGAGCCCAGTAGTCACGTGATCAAAGAGGA